TTTTTTTTTTTTTTTTTTTTTTTTTTTTCCAATAGGCTGGTAATTGCGAAGTTAGTCAAATGCAGCTTTGAAGTGGGGGAAGCTGATCTTTGTTGTCTGTCTGTTGACATTGAATTGAGAGTTTGGCTTAATTTAAGGGTGACTCTACACAGTTTGGCTGACACTCACTTTGGCGATGCCAAGAGTGGAGGCCAGGGCACACATAGTAAGTGTGTGCTTTGCCATTAAGCTACAACTACAGCCTAGTTTTGCCGATTTAAAGGTTAAAATTATCTTTTTGTTGTTGTTGTTACAATTTATTTATTTATAGGTGGTAGGGAGTATGTGTGGAGGCCAGAGTACAACCTGTTGGAGTCAGTTCTCTCTACTATGTGTTCCTGGAATTGAACTTAGGTTGCCAAGTTCAGGGTCACATGCCCTTGCCCTCTGAGCCATCTTGCCAGCCCCCCAGAAACAATCTTTAATTTGGAAATGAATCTGTACTAAAACCATGGAAGTATTACTTTGGGAGCATTGGGCTCTCTGGACTTGAAAAAGGACTGTATTTTCATAGGCCAGAAACTCTGAAGTTCGATCCAACGCTGCATTGTTGTTTGTTGAAGCATTCCCTGTTAGAGACCCAAACTTCATTGCCACTGAGATGGACAGTGAAATCCAGAAGCAGTTTGAAGAACTATACGTACGTATTGCTGTAGAATGCATTCCATGCTTGCTAACCCGTATGGTTTGTAGCTGGCTGCAGGGTCATTGCTTGCCAGCAGGGCCCTCCCACAGAGGAGTACCCGTTTTTTCCCATGTCCCCTGAAGCCCAGACCCACAATATCCCTTCCTCCCCCTTTGCTCACTCTTGAGACACCCCATTATGTGTCCTTATGTGGTTTTTGTGTTAATGGGGATGCATGCCTTGTCCCCAGTAGTGAAGTGTTGTCACTTTGACTTCTCTTCAGATTGACTCCACCACTCCCATGTGATAGCTTTGTGACTTTGGGCAGGTCATTGCCCTGCTCAGTGTCTTCGTCTGTGAGGCCCTCTGGGGCATGTGCAATTTCATTTCATGCCTTTAGTCTGCAAACAGTATAAGTACAACAGCTACTCATCTAAGTAACCCTTATAGGGGAAGCATGGGTTGATGCTGTGTGGCTTTATATGAGGGACTGAACTGCTGCAGATTTGGCATCCTGGAACTAGTGCCCAGAGGGTTCCTAGGGACGTGGACTGAATGGCCAGTATTTCTGCAGCCATACATGTCTTAGATTTTAAATTCCCAGAGTGCCAATATGTAACACAAACGATAATTTAAGACTTGTAACCCTTTTCCCTCTCCTACTCTAGAGCCTTTTAGAAGACCCTTACCCGAGGGTCCGTTCCACAGGCGTCCTTGGCGTCTGTAAAATAACGTGTAAATACTGGGAAATGATGCCCCCTACCATTATCGTCGATCTCCTGAAGAAAGTCACTGGGGAGCTGGCGTTTGATATCAGCTCCGCTGATGTTCGCTGTTCTGTTTTTAAGGTAGGGTTTTAGATGTATAAAGGTAATGTTTGATCGTACAATAGTTTTGTAGAACTACAGGGATTTTTAGGCACTAGAGAGAAAGGGAAAATGTTAAAAAATCACATGTTGTCCTACTCAGTAGGGAAAATGTTATTGATACTGGGGTTGTACTTGTATTTCTTTTCTCTCTTCCTTTTTTTTCCCTCTTTGTTTTTTCAAGACAGGGTTTCTCTGTGTAGCCCTAGTTGTCCTGGAGCTCACAGAGATCCACCTGCCTCTGCCTCCCAAGTGCTGGGGTTTAAAGGCGAGCGCCGCCACCACCACCACCTGGCTGTGGTTGTATTTTTAGACCAAAACGTTAAAGAAATTTTTTTTTGTATAATTTTGTTTATTTTTAAAATGAAAAAAAAATTTTATGTGTGTGGGTGTTTTGGCTATATGCTGTGTATGTACCTGGTGCCCACTGATACCAGAGGAGAGTGTTGGATTGCATGGAACTAGAGTTATGGATGGTTGTGAGCCTTCATGTAGGTGCTGGGAATGGAACTTAGGGTCCTCTGCTAGAGTAGCTTGAGGCATCAGATCTCCTGGAGCTTGTCTTTTTTTTTTTTCTCAAAATTTAACTTTTATTGATTCTCTGTGGATTTCACATCATGCATCCTGATCCCACTCATCTCCCTGTCCCTTCCTATCCAACCTCTACCTTTGTAAACCCTCCCATCCCCCCACCCCAGGATAAAAGAAGATAAAGAGAAAAGTCTCACTGTGGAAGCTGTAGTGTGACACAGTGAATCAGTCACACAGTCCTTTAGTCCATACATTGCTACGTGCGAGTGTTGAATGAGTTGTTGATGTAGTTTGAGGTCTCTGGCTTCTTTCTACATCATTAATACCTGACCCTCATTGGGGCTCCTCTTGGATATCCTGTTGTTGTCCTGTGTCATCGAGATCCTGTAATATTGGGTCTATAGGACCAACCCCTTCCCATGCCCCAACAGATGGGGTGGATGATGGGATGGGCCAACTCAGAGCTCTGGTTCTGGGTTTGGCTGGTTGCTGGGTTGCTCATCCTGCCAGCTCTCCTTGATCCTCAAAACCATGGTGAACTCTCCAGTACTGCCCCAGCTAGCTCACCTATGTAGGAAGCGGCAAGACACATGGCTGGTTCTCCTGTTCTCATGTCAGCTTGCCCACACCTACACCACCAGGGGACAGCTCTACTGTGTTGCCTAGTCAAGGTATAGGGGCCACTATACCTAGTGCTGCAGCTGGTGAGAGGCAGGGCTAACTCTCTTGCTCTAGTGACCTCAGGGATGGCTTTCCCACCTACCACAGGCTTCAAGGGGAATGGGGGTGTGTGCTTTTCTCCCTTGCCCACCCCGGCATATGGTAGATGAGGGGTGGGACTCAGTCTCTTACACTCACCTTCTCAGGGGTCAGCTCACCCACACCCTGGAGCTGGTCTTAAAGGTGGTTGTGAGCCATCCACCATGGGTGCTGGAAACTGAACTTAAGTCCTTTGCCAATTGCAAGTATATGATTTTAATTGCTGAGCCATCTTTTCAGTCTCCAAATTAAGCTTTTAAAAATCCAAATTTAAAGTATTTTCTAGCCAGATGTGTAGCCAAGACCTAGAGTACCAGAAATACTCAGGAGGATGAAGCAGGAGAATTCTGAGTTTGGAGTCTGCCTGAGTTGGGTGGACACCCTGTTTCAAAGAAGAGAAGTGCTTTCTGTATAAAACGTCTACTTTCCAAAGTACCAGTCACTAGCACTGTAGAAGTCCTCAGTTGTGCCTCTGTGGAATATCATGCTGAGCCATCCTACCAGCCCCAAAGCATGCCTTTGAGGGGAACTTGCTTGAAGGTGGTGTTTTCTGGCAGGAATAGACTCAGCCTCACCTTAGATGCTTCCTGTCTAAACATTTTATTGTTGCATTCTGATTTTGAGATGCTTTTCTCTCTCTTTCTGTAGTGTTTGCCAATTATTCTGGATAACAAACTGAGCCACCCATTGTTAGAACAGCTTTTGCCACCACTCAGGTATAGTCTCCACGATAATTCAGAGAAAGTGAGGGTGGCTTTTGTGGAGTTGTTGCTGAAAATCAAAGCTGTGAGAGCTGCAAAGGTAAGCAGGACATTCTTCGAGAAGAGTGAAATACACAAAGCACATTTGTGATTCCCCCAACAGAAAGACTAATCTTAGTTCTGAGAACCTTCTCAGTCAGCTTGACAACCAGTGTATTTGCTCGGTTGTCATAAGACTCTGTTTTGTGTTTCTCATGGAAAGAAGGTTCTAGAAATACCAATGCATGCTTCATTTTGAAAGACACTCACATAAGCAATCCCTTTACATATTTTCTAAACATTATCTCTCGTGTGGTGGGACATGTGTGTTCAGAGGAGAACTTGTGGGATCTCTCTTCCTTCCACCATGTGGGTCCCAGGGATTGGACTCAGGTTGTCAGGCTTGGTGACAAGGCACTTCTGTCTGCTGACCCATCTTGCAACTTCCCCCATACCTGTTTTATTACGTGTTAAAAGTATGGAAATGTTTAACGCATCTCTACATATCTAGCACATGGTAAGAACTCAAGTATTCCTTGTTACTTGCTAAGGTCAGATGAACCAAGGAATTGCTGGTAGCATGGTAAGGATGCACCAGGCACGGGCCAGTCTGTTGACACAATAAAGAAGACATAAAAGTTGTCCTCTTCCAATTCAGTTTTGTTTCCTTGATGCTGGGGGTTGAACTTGGGGCCTCACGAATGCTAGGCAGGTGCTCTACCACTGAGACAAGGGGACTTCAGGTTCAAAAGGAGTTCAGGGCTAGCTCGGGCAAATGCTAACACTCAGTGCCAGTGGGTATCCATTGGCATGTTCATTGCTAGGAGCATTGTGACCCACGTGGCCACCAGCATGCTGCTCAAAGTGACAGCTTGTGCCTTGCACTCACATATAACTTATCTGAACTTGGCTTTTGGCCAGGAAGTAAGTGCGTGCGTGCGTGCGTGCGTGCGTGCGTGCGTGCGTGCATGCGTGCGTGCGTGCGTGCGTGCGTGCGTGCGTGCGCGCGCTGGTAAGGACAGTTATGGGCCCTGTGGAGGAGCTGCCCAAGTGCCAGACGCCTGTGTTAGAGTTGATCAGTTGGTAGAACACGGGTGTAGCATACACAAAGGTGATGTATGCCTGTAAGTCTGGTACTCAGGAGGTGGAGGCAAGAAGATCGGGCATTTAAGGTAATCTTCAGCTGCAAAGTGTGTTCAGGACTGGCCAGGGTTCCTGAGACCCCACTGAAAACAAACACAGGGTGCTAATTGTGTCTCTTGTGGGGTGTGTGGCTGTGTGAGTTCCAGAGCTGGACCAGGAGACTGCCCACGGTGGAGAGAGCAGGTCAGCTGTCCTAGCGTGGTGAGGAAGGATGCCCTGAGCCTCTTACAAGATGAGTGGGCTGTCTATTTCAAAACTGTTAGCAGGTTAAAAAGCTCCTCTGTTACTAGACCAGTTGATGGCTTCGCAGGTCTACAAATATAGTGGTCAGCTAGATTAATTTGTGCATTAGTCGTGCTCCTAGGAATCAGAGTGGACCTTTCTTTCTTCCCGCTGTACCTTACATGTGACACATTTCTTCAAAATGTAGACTTGTTATTTTTGTTCACGGGAAAGTCAGGTTCTGATAGAGCTACTTGGAATGATTTCTCTTGAATATAAAAACTGGTCCTTTGCTTATGTCCTGGAAGCGTCAGCCGTTCTCAAGATTGTAGGACCAACTGCTCACTTCCTTTTGCACGCCTCCATTCTTACCCTCCAGTTTTGGAAAATATGCCCCATGGAGGACATTTTGGTTCGCCTGGAAATCGATGCTCGGCCTGTGTCTCGGCGCCTGGTGAGCCTCATCTTCAATTCTTTTCTGCCTGTGAACCAGCCAGAGGAGGTGTGGTGCGAGCGCTGTGTCACACTGATCCAGATGAATCGCGCGGCGGCCAGGAAGTTCTATCAGTACGCCCATGAACACACCGCCAGCACCAACATAGGTTTGAATCTCTGCTTCCCCGAATCCTGCTGCTCCTCCCCCAGCATAGCTCGTGATGCTACAGATAGACGCTCAGTGTTTGTCATCTGAGTAAGCTCCGTGCTCTCTGGCATCTCTCAGTGGTTTCCCTGAAAGTCATATCCTTTCCTGTCTGAGATTATAGTTTTCTAATTAGAAAGTTAATTTTATACAAGGCGCGTGTATTGATTATCTTAACCTCTTTAGCCAAGCTCATCCACGTCATCCGCCACTGCTTGAATGCCTGTATCCAGAGGACCCTGCGAGAGTGCCCGGAGGCCCATAAGGAGTGCGAGAAGGAGAATGCCAGTGTGAGTGGCTCTTGCTTCACAGTAAAGACAAGTAGCTGTGCAGGGGAGGGAAAAGAGTGCATAGAGCACTGTGATTTCATGTCCATAACCTTGGCTGACCAGTGCCTTCTCATGTGCTCAGAGCTATTTGAAGTTAGAGTTTGAGCCCCTTGTACTCTCCCTGCATTGTAGATAGAGTGTGGGAAGCTTTCCCGGAGACTTAGCTAAGTCACCATGTAGATTGTGCCATAATCAGCAGGCAAACTGCAGGTCAGCCTGGCATGAGAGGCAGTTGGCATTGGCAGAAGTGGGTGAGCACCCTCCTGTGGGCTGCTGTAGCCTTATGGCTGGGATTGAAAATGACTTTGCAAAAGTGATTGTGAATTTGGTAAGGTACTACTTGAGAATTTCTTTACCCTTGTGGCTAGACACTACTGAGAAAGCTTGTAATACCAAGTTCTGTGTCATTAGAAAAGACAATGATTTCCATTGTACTCTGCATAAAATACCTAGCTGGTTATATAAATTCTCATTCTAGGTTGACAGGACTAGAATACACATCTTTGCTACATTGTAACCCATGTTAGACAAAATGTATAACTTGTTATATAGGTATTCTAAGAACACATATGTAGCTAAAATATTTCATTGTGGTTTTGGCCTCCTGTGTTCTGGGTTTATAAGCATACACTACTATGTCCAAGTTTTGAAGTCAAGTCTTTTAGGGTTGTCTCATGGTGCAAGGCATATACCTTTAATTCCAGCACTCAAGAGGCAGAGGCAGGTGAGCTCTGAGTTCAAGACCAGGCTAGTCTACAGAGTGAGTTCCAGGACAGCCAGGGCTATATAGAGAGACCCCGTCACAAACATACACAAAAACAAATGAACACACAAATGATTTTATCATGGCTATCCAGTAACATCCGAAGATACTCTCTGCTAAAATAAAATTTTGGAATAATTAGTTAGGAGCCTTGTATTGCTAAAATATTTTAGCCTAGCCTGCTAAAATAAAATAAGGAACTATTGCTTAAGAGCCTAGTACATTATTCAAGTGTTATTCTCAAAGGGGAAATGTAGGTTTCATAAATTTTAATGAGGCCGTTGTGCTAAAGTATTGAGCTTCTGTGGTTTACTCTAAAATAAATAAATTTACTTATGTTTCTTAAGCTGTCAGTATGCAGTGATCACGTGCTATAATGCTCAGTGTAAATGTAAATGTGCTCCAATAAATTCCTTTTCTGCTCACAGCGTTAAAGCACAGAAAAAGTAAGGCTAACCCCAGAATCAAACCTATGATCGGTTTGTCACATTATTCTTCTGGTAGCATCCAAATCACTAACAGGTTGCTTTATGAATCTGATTGGCCTTTCAAAGCGTTGAGTGCATGCCGACTTCGCTAACTGTGGAGAAGTTATGTTTGCGTCTTTGTATTCTTTGAACATCAGTTTTGTAGTAACATTTGAGTGGTTAAAACTAAGCTGAATCAATCCTCCTTATCTCGGTGTTAGAAAGCCACTTCCTTCATCATGTGTCTGTCTCCGTAGTCAGTCTCTGTTGTGCAGGTCACAAGCCAGGTCTGTTGATCAGCTCTCGGAGAGGAATTTTGGTATGCAGGCACCATCATTGTAATGGAGAATGCAGGGACGGCTCCCTACAGATCCCCCTTTTTTTATTAATTAATGATAAGGCTTTATATTTTTACAAGCAAATAGGTCACCCATATGTTGAGGGATAGAGGCAGAGGTTGTACCTTCCCAATCAAACATTAAGACTGTGTACAAGAGTTGCCATCAGGCTGTTAGCTTGACCCGAAGCGCTCTCGACCTGTCCTCTGCCGTTTTTCTGGGAAAGGGAGACT